TGTGTGTATATATATATTTCTTATTTATTTATTTTTAAATAGAGAAAATAAAGAAGAAAAAAAAAATCATACCGCCAGTGAAACACGCGTTTCACTGAACGAAAAAAACGAGCTGAAAAACGAGCATAAAAAAACCGCTCAGGTGTGAACCCAGCCTAAGTGTGGGAGAGCAGAAGAAATCCCCGCTCCTTGCAGAGTCTAGAGGGGAGGAGTTGTGGGTGGAGACTGAGGAGACACGCCCCCAGCATGTTGTAGTCCTTCACATGAAAACAGCACAGAGGGTGGCTACTTTTCAGCTCCCATAGGGACCATGGAGAAGAGAAGTAGCCACCCTCTGGCAGGAAGTTGTGGCTGGAGGAAAAATAAAATGGATTTTGGAACATTTAGAGCTGAACAATAACAACAAAAGGGTGCGCAGTCATTTCTTCTTTATAGAATAGAAGTTATTTTTATTTTATTTTTGAGTTTAGTGTCACGTTAAGGAGGCGATTTTTCAAGCTGCAATGTTTCAGGATGAGTTTCTTTTCAACAACAGGCCAATTGTCCTCCTCCCTGACTTGTCCTAACAGACGCCAGTTATGCGTTGTGCCCTCAAATCTTTGCTGGAATCCCTGAAGTCTCAGAACATTAAATATCATTGGGGATTTCCTTTCCAGATTATTGCTCAAGTAGACGGGAAAGCGGCCGTTTCACACCCTAGGAGATCTACCGACATTCCCAGCTGAATTGGAACTACCTTAGTTCTCTCTTCCTGATTGGCCGCTGCAATCCACTCTGCCTGGCTTCTCCGCACGTATTATTTTACTTCCATGTGACAAACTTTTATTACTTTACACCAGCCTACTTTAGTGTAACTTCATGACCCTCAGGCGAGAGCCGTCCGTGTGCCTTCTACGTTCCACCTCTTAGGAATACTGGTGAAGATATAGTGCCGAATTGTTGATATTTGCAGATCTATTGTTCTCTGTTATAAGGTTCTAATTGTTGTTTACTTTTCAGCACTAGATGGCGTCTTCTCTGTTTGTACTCCTCAGTTCCCTACATTCCTGTGGCTCTCCTTCTCTTTATTCATTCCTCCTCTTTGACCTGCCCTGGTTCCCTTGATGTTCCTTCCCACCTCTTCTCCCTTTCCCTACTACTTTATCCTAGATAATGGCTAATGTCCTCTTACTGTGTCTTCTCGTCAGGGTTTTAATACTCCTATGAAGAGGAATCAAGTAGTTTATCATTTTTTTTATAGGGTCAAGGCCAACATTTTATTTTTACAAGAAACCCAATTTGTAGTAATCATCATGTCCTGAACCTTGGTTCCTCCTATTTTAATAGCTGATATCATAGCACTAAGGGAGTGTCCATAGCCTTCCATAAATCCTTTACTCCAGAGGTGTTACACTCCTTGATGATGCTCGTCTTTATGTTATTCTTCAAATCAAGTTTCATAATGGTTAACGTGTACTTTCCCAACCAGGATCAAGTTCCCGCCTTCTCCACCATCCTCTCGAACTTCGGGACCTGTAACGTGATCATAGGGGACAATTCCAACCTTCCTCTGGTGTCACGTCTGAATACATCTACCGGTAAGCATCTGTCAATGTCTTTTCAAACAGATAATTCTCCAGCACATCTAAAGAGCACATTGATGTTTTTATAATTATGCTTTAGGCTTTTAAAGACCTGAAGACAGTCAAGCCCCCTTCATTTTAATGAGGGGAGGGTGAGTGCAGGGAGTAGGGCACCAGTCTCATGATTTTGACTCCGCTCCTATCACAGGATGTCCTCTTATCACAGAGAAATCTTTGCAGATAACACTCCGAAGGACACCACAGACTCCATTCCACGCTGTGCACTCTATGAATACACTATAAAATGCAGGAGCAGTATAAACACAGGAACACATGGTGTCCTGTGGAGAGCGGTATCCGCTCTCTATTATAAATCAGCGTCTTGGTCTATAACAGACTCTATGGGGTTGATTTATGAAAGTCAAACAGGCTGTTCATTTTGCAAGGGAATTTGCAGGTTGCGGGGGGGGGGGGGGGGGGTTTCCCCGTAAATAAGAGAGTGGGGGGAAACTCCACTTTTAT